CGAAAACAGGTATTTGCTTCGAATGCTTCTTAAATAAAGTTATAAACTTTTGATTTCCATTCCGTGTAAGAACTGTTGTCAACGCAACAAAGAAATTATTAACATGTAAATCGCGTGATTGTACTTGGTTAACTTATAATTAAATTAGCATAATTTTACCCTGATCAGGTAGAAAAGAAAAATATATCTAAATTAAAGCGGCACTATATAACGTCGTTTATACCACATCCTCCAAGCTACAAATCCTACTTGTAGTTCCTTTTTCGTAATTTTTAACCTTCTGTTGTTTTTGAGTAGTGGTTAGATTTGTGGTTTGTTTTCAGATATGATTTACTTAAACTTATATCTCAGTTGATATACATGTTGCAATTAAAAATGATATCCAATCATAGATAACAGATATGTAACTAAGTGACTTTTAAGTCGCAAAGCCTATTTTGCGCTACATCGATCGGACATAACGAAAACTTACAACTTATTTTACTTAGTTTTCTGTTTATATTAAATCAATTTTCAAAAATATTTTGCTACATGCATTCGATCATCCAAATATTTATCTCCCGTTCAGTGTAGTGAACTGTGTAACCATCAAAACAGTTTTTGTCATAAGATTACGTTACATATAGAAAGCAAGAGGGCAAAAGTACCCTGTTGTTTCGGTTGTTTCAAAACTGTGCAAAGATCTCATCCAAGTTTAAACTAATTCATCAATCAGTTTAGTGAGTTTGTTATTCATTCGGTGAAAAACGCGTGACCGAGTACTTAAGTCAATGGTATTTAAATAAATATATTTACAAGCTTCCGTACAGCCACCCGTTCGATAAATCAAATATTGACTTTATGCACTAGGTAACGCGAATGTCGTGAGCTAATCTATCATGTTATTATGATTAAAATGATAAATGAATGATTTGAATAGAGAAAAAAAATGAGTCTGAGGTTTGAATGAAAGGTTTGAACACGTTTTGGAATCGCGGGTTACAGAAGTACTTGCCCTGCAAAAACAGAGATACCCTTCTCTTTCAGCAGAAAGAGAAGAGAATTTTTGTCTCGCAAGGTGAAAATTAAATAAAGTAACTGACGAACCAAATATATTGTTTTTATATCACTAGGACTGTATTGCTGTTTAAGCTTATTGGCTTTTATTTTTCTTTCTAAATGGGCGTTGTATATTTTTGTTTACCAAATGATTCATTTCACAGGCAGTTGTGTGAATTGTTTCAAAAAAGGCGCAAATGTGAATACTGAACGATTAAAAACGAAAAAAATTAATCCTAAGTCAAAATAAAAGTCAGCTTCAAGGTGTGCCGCTCAAACAAAGGAAACAAATCTATCCAACAAAAAAGAGGGCTTTTCATTTGATTATAGAAAGTAACTCGTTTGCTTTGCTTTTGTTTGGTTTAAAAATCGATATCTTGTACCATTTTCTCCGGCAACCCATGGGAAGGAAAAGCAAAACCAAACCCCACGCTTAGGCGAAATCGGACGGTCTGAATTGTTATTTGAAACTTCTAGCTGAAGAAACACGCTCGTCAGCTTCAGCAACAATTTTGAGTTTTTAAAGTCAAGTAGCTTTCCTATCCTCTTTTTAGTCTTCTTAGGAATTCAATTGTCCAGTAATGTTTCTGAATGTTCTTCAGAAAGAGGCTCGAAATTTCTGAAAAACAAGAAAGGAGAATCCATTATAGGGGGTCGTACACTAATACGTTTCGAAAACCGCCATATTTTGCTCCTCCGAAACTGCAGCCCGCTTTATTTTTCTCCTAAAACCAAAGCCGCCCTACTAGTAGGACGATTCTCATCATAATCGATCTTTTAACGGAGCGTAACAAATTCTTCACTATATTTTAGCTCAACAATCGTATTTCGCCTCACACAAAGACCACAAAATCTTAAGAACAGTGAGAACAAATTGTTTCTAACTCCATTCAGCAACCAGCAAACAAAACGCAAACACAAAGATTGCTCGAGATGTTTGACTGACCACCACAAAAGCAAGCAAAAACTGACAACCGCGAGCTGAATTTATAATTTCTTAACCGTAAACCGCCAGGTAAATTTCCCGCAAACCGACTCTCAAAATTAGCTTCAACCGCCAAACCAAATAGACCCTCAGAAAACGTCGCGTGCGCGTGCGCCGATAGTGTATTATAGCTCAGCCAATTAGATTGCAGCATGTACAAGACGGGCAGACACGTGAGACATACAAAAAGAAATGTATCGCGGACATCCTGCGAATTGGTTGAGCTGTCGTCTTGTTGGATTCATTCAATCTGTCTTCCTACAGGATATTTGTGCCCCTGATCCTCCAAGCCTATTCGTCGATGGATCTAGCAGACATGACATTACTCAAGGCTTGCTGGGTAACTGTTGGTTTGTGGCATCTTGTGCAACAATGGCCCTGGAGCCGTCACTTTTAGAGGAGGTATGTGCAAGTGTTGACAAAAGCAGCAAATAAATAAACAAACGAACAAGCAAAACAAAAAGGAAAAGAAAACAAACGGCAACTAACACAAACAAACTAGCTATAACCTGGTTATATTCTCAAAAATCGTCTTTCTCAATCGTTGATGAGTCATAACGTAGTGGAAAAGTTGGCATCAGGAAATGTATGTGAAATTCAAGCATATGATACACTGATTTTGTGTTTACTATCAAGAGGCCGGTTTTTAGAGAGAACCTCCCAGTTTTAATAGTCAAATCCATGCGCAGATTACAATTGATTGAAAAAAAAAGCTGATACTACGGCAGAAGGGCTGGTTTATTGAGGTCATATTTCGACTTACAAGGGAAGTCTTTCTCAAATCATGCACAAGGACACAAAATGTCTCAAATTTGAATTTTGAATTGAAATTTAAGGGACTGTCATAGTAAATTATTTTTATCCTCCCATTAGGTTATTCCCGACATGAAGAAGCAGGAGTGGGACCCGAATGACGTGGGAAATTACCAGGGAATATTCAGGTTTCGGTTTTGGCGCCAGGGTGAGTGGACGGAAGTTGTAATCGATGATCTACTGCCTACAATTAATGGTCAGTTGGTCTTCATCCATTCCAAGGAGAAGAACGAATTTTGGGGATCGTTAGTTGAGAAGGCATACGCAAAGTACGTTAATGACTAATGCTTCATTATTAATTCATCGTAAATAATTCTTAATCAATCGTGTAAAATTGGTAATGAATTGCGCCTTAACCTTACCGTTTTGAACTTCTAGATTGTAATGATTTATCACTTAATATTTGATGTTCCAAGGTTTCTTCCTTCCTTTCTTTGTGCCTTTCTTCGTTTGTCGGTCTCTCCATCTACAAGTCTGTCTATCTTGCTGTCTGTGTTTCTGCCTTCTGTCTTCTGCCTGTCTGTCTGTCTGTCCGTCGTCTTCTGTCTCCCGGTCTGTCTGTCTCTGTTTGTCTGTTTGTCTGTCTGTCTGTATGTCTATTGTTTTTTTTGTTTGTTTTTTTTCCTATCTTTCTTTTCGCATAATTCCTTTTTTTGATAATTTAAGCTAATGTCCAACTCTAAGAAACCTTCATTTAGACTTAATTAATGTTAAGTCTTGCACTAACGGCATACACTGTAAAATGTAATGTTCTTTTGTTTCCATTTCTCTCTGCATCACTCTGCATGATATTTTATTTGCTTTCACCTGACCAGCACGGACAATAACTAAACAAAGGAGTGGTAGTGAGACAACTTTTCGATGAGAGTAAATGTGGGATCAAATACAATGTGTGAATGAGAGTCATATTCGAAACTTTGAATAATGACAATCAGAATATCACTAACCATTATGCCTATGCATCTAGAAAGCTCCTTATTCACTCATGTCATCTTCACATGCAAGACTGCTTAACAAAAGGGTAAATAAAATTCGTTAATTTACTTCAGGTTAAATGGAAGTTTCGAGGCATTGGAGGCAGGAAATATCGCGGATGCCCTGGTGGATTTCACAGGCGGTGTGTGCGAGTCAGTCAACCTAAAGGATGCTGGCTTCAATGATGATGAAGAAAGAAGGCTAGCTTTTTTCAACAGCATGCGAAAAGCAATGAGTGACAGATCGCTAGTCGGTGCTTCTATCACGGTAAATGTTGCTTTATTTGTCGTACAATTCGTCAGGTTTAAATTTAGGATTGTTTTCTTGCTCGTATAAGCTCGCTAACAATTGTGTGTTTGTTAGTTCAGTTACTGTGCGTCTGTTCTTTTATAACTGCTTTAATTAAGATATCTTGGCTCCACATCACCACAAGTCTATGAATGTATGTCTGTCTGTCTTGTCTGTCTGTCTGTCTTGTCTGTCTGTCTGTCTGTCTTTTCTGTCTGTCTGACTAGCTGTTTTATTCCTGAGGCCAAAAAAAATGAAGACATAGAGAGACGCACCGAAACTGGCTTGGTAATGGGACATGCTTATAGCGTGACTTCAATGAAGAAGGTATGCTAGCATGTTGCTTTGTTTCATTCCGCGAATAATGACCACGATTTTTAATAACAAATCGTTAACATGATTTGTTTATTTTTTTTCAGATCACCACTGGCGAGGGCTTGTTCAACTTGTTTAACCGTGAGCATCTATACTTGATTCGACTGAGAAATCCCTGGGGACAGAAAGAGTGGAACGGCGCTTGGAGTGATGGGTAATTTCTCAACATTTTACTGAAGTGTGAACAAAAACAGAAAAACTGAAAGTACAGACTGAAATTCTTGCCTTAAATATGACGATCCGAGAAGACCTTCCCAATAATGTGGGTACAGTAGAAGCAGGTAAAAACTGATGAGACGAGGAACATAAAACGAATTTGTCGCTTGTTTGTTTTCTTCCGTAGTTCAGCAGAATGGGAAAAGCTAGATGCAGATGGAAGAAAAAAGCTTGGACTAGATTTTGATGACGATGGAGAGTTCTGGTTAGTTCATTGTGGGCGTATTTATAGAAAACTAACGACTAAAGAAAAATTAGACATTCAAGAGGGTCTGGATGGGCGGGAGCAATTGCCAGTTATCAGATAGAACTTTCTCTATTTGCCAGATGTCAGTTTACGCTTTGGCCATCTAAAACCTCTCCTATTTGAACAGAAATGATATATATGGTTGATCATATAGTTAAGGATTTAACATTCCATCTCTTATAATTGCTTAGGATGGCGTTTGAAGACTTCTGTCGTTACTTTTCCAAAGCCACCATATGTCACTTGATGAATACATCAGTGTTCTCGATTTCAAAACGCTGGCATCTTTTTAAACACAACAACGAGTGGAAGCCGGATTTCTCTGCTGGTGGATGTGTTACTAACCAAGACAGCTTTTTTAGGAACCCACAGGTAATGGAAATCACTTAGTGAATATCTTTCGTTCCTTTCTCCCTCCCTCCCCCAANAAAAAAAAAAAAAAGAAAAGAAAACTCTGTCTTCCATATCTGTGTTATTTTCTCGGGCTAGGGCATTGTTAAATATTTCCTCCTGATAACTCGAACCTTCAAAGGAGATTGAAAAAGGTCCGAGTTATCGGGAGTTCGAGTTGTCGGGAGTTAAGAACAGATGACCGGAAATGAAGAAAAAAAAACTATGTTTACTGTCAGTGTTTCTATTCACACAGAGTACATTTTAATCAAATTTAATTATACTGAATGCTCTTGCAGGCTGCCGAGGATAAAATTACAATAAATGTATGACGGAAATTTAGGGGAAATTGACTTTGGTTCGAGTTATCGAGGGTTCGAGTTATGGGGAGTACACTGTAATGAAATAACTCGTTAAGACCCGGGTTAAGAGTAGTAAAGCGGCCGACCCCTATGCCAGCCTACCTGCATTACTAGGTATAGCGTTCTTAGACGTAGACTCACCGGGTCTCTAACGCCTACCCCACCATTATTGGTGCCTTCCTACCCAAATGGACTAATCTGTTTCTTGCTAGTATGCTTTCAGCATCAAAGACAAGGATGATGGAGAAGTCATGATTGCTCTGATGCAAGAGGACACGCGCATCGATAGAGATGAAGGTGGAAAGAATCTAACTATTGGATATTTCATCATGAAGGTACCGTGTTAAAAAACGGTTTATCGGTGTTTTCTGATTGGCGCTTCTTTTTTAGCTTCGTTACTTTATTTACGAAAAAAATAATAAATTCAATAAACGCAAGAACATTAATTGACAGTAAAGGTCTGCTCACACCTGAGGCTAGAGGGCAAGTTAATAGACATGAAGCGGGAACGAACCCCAGTGTTGCAGGGACAGTGCGCAATGTAGGGCGTACGGAGCGGATATTGGTTTATTTCTGTGTTGAGCGGGGACAGTTTGCATAAGCAGGTACACGATGCGACATTGAAACATGAGGTCATTTTGCTCCCGCCTTTAATATGACGCACACATTTAAACCAGCTGAATTTCATGCGGCGTGTTGCGGAGACAAACTTTTTTCCCGCAACAGAACTTTGCAATTGTTGCATGGCATTTCACACGAGGAAAAGTCTCGCTGCAACATGTCCCCGCAACACGTACCATAGTATGTGCGGACCTTTCATGTGATTTCTGGTCTTGGCGCTGGACCTAGTCTATTTTACGTAATGCTGACCGTGTTTTAGTTTAGCGGTAACTGATTATCTAATGCCGATGTTTTAAAGGTGGAAGAGAATCGTACTTACCGCTTGCATTCAATGATGGAAAAAGCTGGCGACTCGATCTTCATAAACATGCGTGAGGTGGTGAACAGATATCAGCTGAAACAAGGAAGATATATTGTCATACCATCAACCTACGATCCGAACGAGGCGGGAAATTTCATGATTAGAATCTTCACAGAGAAGTCTTCGAATGCAAGGTACCTGTATATATCGGCTGAGTTAACAACTAAGTTCCATTTTAAGAGTCACCAAGAACAGTTCTGTTCAGAACCCTCACCGGACGAATCACATTAGCGTGCTTTGGAAATGAAAGCCCGCTTCATTTGTTTGTCCCACCCTCCCCCCCTGCTCCTTATTTTGTCACACCCGCTCGTAGTTTCGTCCTCTTTGCGTGCTTTTGGAAATAAACGATAACCACGCAGGCTGCCACCACACTAAGTAAACTACTTCTATTCCAGTTATGCTTTGAGGCTTCAGTCTTAGTCTCTCTTTAAGCGAGCAAACGCCTTTACTCCTGAATGAAACTTAAACAATTTTTTTTCTTTTTTCCCCCTTTGTCATAAGTGTTCTGGAAAAGCACCATCCTACTGGCAGTAAAATCTTTTGCTGCATTCCAAGATTCCGCACCCCCGTGTGTGTCTTGTCTGTGTTGGTGAAGTCAGCGGTTGAACTTCAACAGAAGTCTGTGTTATTAGGTTAGTACTCTATTTTACTTAATAAAATATTATCTGCTGGAAACTCCAGGAAAAGAGAGGGTTGGTGCTGACGGCTGCTAATTTCTTCCATACCAGTCTTAACGCTCAAAATGTTTGCCTTTGAGAAGGGACTGGTACTGACAAGGGAATTGACAGCACAAGGGTTGAGGTGAGGGAGGCGCTGGTAATGCCTTCCTCACCAGACTTCTCACTCAATTGTTCGCCTTGGGGTTTCTTACGTAAATGTAGATTATGCTGCAAAGAAACCTCGACACTTTGCAAATTTGTATTTAATATATTGTGTATAACATATTGTATTTGTAACATATTTTTGTTGGTACTTATTTGCTTATCGATCTCACAATTAAATGGTAATTTTCAAATGTACATCAATTCTGGATTGTCACATTCAGCCCTCTTAAGATCCGATGGATTTTTTATTCTTGTGTTCTTTTTTTAGCCTACAATAGCATTTCACACTAGCGACCTAACGACATAAGGTCGCTTATGTCAGGAAAAGATCAGGGTTTTTTCCTGCTGTTATGTTACTTTTGTCATTATGTCAGGATGTTCACACTGGAAACAGAACGACATAACATACCTTCTTATGCCGTCATGTCGCTAGTGTGAACCAACGTTTCCTCCATGTTCTGTATCAGGTGTGGATCCTTATGCTCTGATCATGTGTGAAGGAAAGACAGTTAGAACTCCTACACTCCAAAACACACGGAACCCAGAATGGAATTCTGGAGCGCTGTTTTATGTCCGTAGGCCCAAGAAAACCCACTTGATAGTGCAGGTAAGAGCTTTGCAGCAGCGAGAAGGATAGTAAAGGCCACGCTTAAAGAAATTTGGGTTAGGTTTTAAACCAAACGCTGTCAAATACAATAAAGTGTTATGATCACAGTAGAGCCAAGACTAAATATATTAAGTTCATTTGCTTATTGCGGCTGATACATTTTTGGAGTTTTTTATTTTGTTTGTTTGTTTGTTTGTTGCACCCGAGACTCACTTTGCGAGAGATGGGAGGGTTGGAAGAATTAATCTGAACATTTCGGTATTTATTCTTCCTTTCAGATATGGGACAGCAATGTCTTTTGTGATACCTTCCTGGGTCAAGCGAAAATGACCATCGACATCAACAACAGAACTGTGGTCCTACAACATCAACTGAGGGGCAGAAGGCGACAGCACAATGAAACGATGCCTGGCGCCGTTACATTGGAGATTGGTTGTTATCACGATCTCATAGCGGTCTAGTCAAGACCTCTTTGCTTTGTAATGAAGAATAGCGACAGAGATTGCAGCGGGTAGATGTGCGACAGATATTCCGTTTCCCTCCGCAATAATGTGGGTGTCACTTATCGATACGCAATCCGAAAGTGTGCTTATTAGCTTGCTTGGCAAAATCCGCGGCGAAAACGTGAGTCGAAAGTTTCAATAACACTATGATGAAAAATAGACAGGACGTTTGCTCGTTTGGCAACAACGATGGACGACCATGATGTTAAAATAGTTCACTGACCAAATGTTCATTTACCTCCTTACAACAGACAAACTATGAGGTATGCTTATTGTGGCTGATTTGCAAGTTATCGTCCCGATCGCCTCGAAGGTTTCGAAGCATTTTGATATGACTGGAGCGATTTCGATTTCCATATATGTGCCTTGATCATCTCAAAAAGTTAGACTGCTCTGTAACTGCCATGAGCCTTTAAACAAAAAAGCAGCCGTACGAAAAGTAGTGACTTACAGAATACGGCAATACGTTTTGAGATGTATTTCTATCAATCTAATCGCGGACGCCTGCGAGCAGTTTCTCATAAGGCGATTATGATTTGTTTGGATTGAATTTCAATCTGACAGGCGATCTTGTCTAGTGTCGTATCGAACGTCCTGTAGTCGACAATCCCGATTGCTCGAACCTATTCTGAACGAATGGGGATATCAATCGACTACATGGAAACCAGCTTTAAACAATTGTTACAGGGATATCATAAAAAATACAGAGTGTAAAAAAAAACACCAATTATAAAATACGTAGAGATAATACCATAGCTAAAATGCCATGTACTACCTATTTGGGAATACGATCAATTTAACACACTCTATTTTAGTACATATATATTTTTCTCATTTGTACTTATAGTGACATAATTTTCTAGTTTATCCTATATTTTTAAATTTTGAGTATGTTAATTTCATCAGTGAGTACTATAAGAGCCATCCTCTATAAATAAAGCTTCTACTTACTTCATTACTTAGTATTTTCATTTGGTGCATGAAACGTTTTGGAGAAGTCATGAGTGCTATCTATAGTTGTAAACCCAACTTATATACAAGAAATGTCTTCTGTAATTCCCTCTTCTCTCTCCCCAAAAATTAAATCTTCTTCTCTGACAGCAAGCATCTCGAAAAGATACTAATAGAATACGAATGTAAGTATTGTAATTAAAAAGATTCTTCTAAATGTTAAAAAAATAATTCCGAACGGATTGTGACATTTGTCCAACTTTCGAGCAAAAAAAAAACAAAACATAGTTATAAAACTTTTTTTTCTCCAAACGCTTAGAAAAACAATTTTTGAAATAGCTTCTATATATACGTAGCTAACACTCTAAAAACTTTATAATTTGAATCCCAACTGTGAGAGTCGGTATAGGTTTGCAGCAAACACTAACTGGTTGATTAGCCGCTGCCCGTGCTTAATCGAGGAATTGAAACGATAAAGGTCGATATCATTTAGAAGTGAAAACAACACACAAAATCGTGCACGTGTACGGAAAAAATCATTTAATTTATTTCATTTAATCTGAAAAGTGTGTCTTGTCCAAGCTAACGAGATTAAACGTGGTTACATTTGTTAAGGTAGTCATATACCCAGAAATATGTCGTTGTCCTTAGCTTTTTACGTAGTAACAGGAGCCCATCACCCGGAGCCACCATACGCACTATAACGTAGAGTCAACCCTTTCCCGTACCATTCTATTTTTAGAACTGTAATTAGCGCGAGAGAGTCTCTTGGTTATACGGATAGAAAATGCAAAATAGAGGGCAAAAGTGGGATCTTAATCTGCTTTGTAACAAACAGTGATCTTAGCTGGGGTATCACTGGGTATTGACAGGGGTCGTGTAAAAGCTCCCACAAGAGCTGTTTCTAAAAATAGAAAGATACGGAAAAGGGTTGACTCACAGGGTTAGTATGGGAGATGGAGGCTCTGGGTAATGGGCTCCTGGTAGTAATCAGCCTTGCTTCATTGTTATTTCTATTTTTGGCTGATTAGATCTTTTACAGATCCTACGTATACCAGCAACACCCTTGTATCATTGCATTTTCCATTAAACCATTCTTCGGAAACATGAACATTCAACATCGGTAAGCATTTTAAAAAGGTATTTTGAAACGATTTTGTTCTAATTACGCCTTGATTTACGTTTATATTAAGAAATCTGCACACTTTTAGCTATATTTTACCATTACAACGTCCATTGCAACAGTTGTCTACAGTCAAAAAGTGTTTACAAAATGAGTTCAGCTCAGTACATTTAAATTATACTTTACAGCAGTATTTGAATTTTATATTCATGTGTCTTAACAAACTCCGATTTATATTATCAAAGAAATATGAGGACATTTTATAATTGTATAGATCGTTTTCGCGTGACGTCATCACTTTCTAAAATCCAAAACTAAAGAGCCACCAAAGTTTTTATCCTCATCAGGCATAATGGGCAGTATATTTATATCTGTTTACAATTTTAAAGCTCAATAGCGAGCTTCGTTTGGAAACCAGAGCATTTTTAATTTCAGGGTTATGGAGGTGCGATAGAGTTTGTTGAAAAATGTAAACTTATCTCATGATTTTGAGCCGTTTTAGAAGTTAAAGCATTAAGAATTCTGACAAAAGAGATCAAGCTTGGCTTTTATGGCACGTCAAAATACGTTTACTATGGGAATGTCAAAAGGCACCGAGGAACAGTTGACACATCAAAATTTCCGTTTGAGACGAATGAACATATATTAAAGGGGTAACGGTTCCCTTTGAAAAAACGCCAAAAACCCTCAATGGAGATGGCATCCAATCCGAAAAAAGACGCCTGGTTTGAAAGCAGGAAGTTGTCCTTAAAACGTCAGATATATGATAAATAACTATTATGCGTGTCTACAGCCTGCTGTCTCTGTTTTGAACGTCCTTGGTTGTGTCATTTTCTTGTAATGTACAAGCATCAGCCACTTCTTCCACATTTGTGTACAGGCTCGATTCATACTTTGACATGTCCAGGTCAACGTAATGCTAAACAAAAAATGAAATAAAGAAATTATTGCAGTATGACTCAAAACTGTTACAAGAGTATTTACTTCAAAACTCTCTTCATGTGCCAGACAACGAAAGAGAGGGGCTAGCTGTCGCAGACTGAAATCTTATGCCTCGCCTTGTAATCTAAAAAGCTTAAGCATTAAGTCTCAGTGAAGATCCCCAAGAGCTTAAAAGGGATGTGCCCCTGGGGTGGGGGGAAGGGAGATTCAATTGCGTAAAACTGGGCTAACAATCCGTCAGTGGGAGATGGCATGTACTCCCCCCCAGCTCCTGCGTCCGAGTGTTAATATAACGTTAGACTATTACTTTTGAATTCCGGGGGTTTTTAGCAGCAGACTTCTTCATTTCAAAAATGTACTGATCCGATGAGAGTAAATTATCGTGATGCTAGTTTTTTGCGTGCTTGTTTAGGAAGCTACCGTGCACCTGTATGAAGCAGGTTCAACGCGTAACGCGCGAAGCATTACCTCGTCTTCCACGAATCTGGTTGTTATTTCGTGGAGATGATCAAACGTCGGACGGGTGCTCGGATCTTCATTCCAGCAATCCATCATTATTTGGTATCTGTGTATTAAATATATTTTGGAACGCAAATACTTGTGGTAGATCTTGAATATTTATGTGATGACAAAAGTCGCAACATCATGCATGAAAGCTTGGTCTTTACTACGAATTATGCACAAGCACAAGCATAAGCTTAACGGTAGAGGAGACACCCATGGCACAAGCCCATAGGAACGTAGGCAAGCGCACAATGGATAATTTTATTTTTGGCTGCAATCTCCTCAATACAGGCACAGACATAGATATCTTACTTGGTCGCACACTTAGCTATGGTAACGGTGAGTCATACAGGCTTCAGTGATAAGCAGAGTCTACAAGACGCACCAGCTTGTTTACACATAATAACAAGGTACATCGAGGTGGCGGATTCTCGCTTATGCTTATGCTTACAGCAGCGCGCGTTCTCACTTTACACAATCATAACCAGTGACAAGCGCAATAAGAATAAAACATTGTTGCTCTGCTCGGGCTGGGGGCAACTTCGCTAACGTAAGCTTATGCTTGTGTTTGTTTGTGCTTATGTTGTAGTGAAAACTCACCAGGCCGGCTTAAAACAAGAATGTCTAAAGTACTAAAATCTTTTGCAAGAAATAGCATGAATATAGAATCCCTCCTCTGTGATGGGCGTATCAGGGACTACTTCTTGCAGCATNCAAGAATGTCTAAAGTACTAAAATCTTTTGCAAGAAATAGCATGAATATAGAATCCCTCCTCTGTGATGGGCGTATCAGGGACTACTTCTTGCAGCATTTAAGAATTGTCAGCTGGAACCATTCAAAACAATTAAAAGTTGACATTTAGAATAGAATATTTTCACTTACAGCTCCTCACTGACATGTTCTGGTTGAGGCATACGGTATTTGTTCATTTTTAATTCATACACCACTTTCCACTCATTCCATCCTGGATATGGCACGCCCCCTGCAAAAGCGAAAAGTAGAAATATAGTTGTACTTGTTATTCACGCGCATTTATTTGTGTGAACGTCTGGAGAGTGGCAGCAAACTTTTGGGGGGGGTGGGGAACAGAATAGCCGGGAGAAGGGAGAAATAGCCCCCCTCAAAAAAAGTTGGGAGGAGCGCGAAATAGGGGAATAAGTAGTTCGGAGATAGAAAAAGAAATGCTGGGAGTAGGGAAAACTGAATGGACCTGGATAGGGAAATAAGTTAATGGAATATTTAAAGTAGGGAGAGGGAAAAGTTGGCTCAAACAGAAGGGAGAAGGAAGGTTTACTCCCCTGCTCCCACCACTTCAAACTGAGCCTTCCGCCTTCAAAAATGAAGTTAAGAACGAACAGTAGAAAAGTCTGGTAAATTAATGTTGCTTGTTCCGATAACGTCTGGAATATGCATTGGGAATGAAATAAATTAGAATGCTAAGCTGACTCTCGTTCAAGAAGAGATACCAGAGTTGAAGATTCGTTAATCCAAAGGTAGAACGAACTTAGTGATTTTTAACGCTTGAACTAAGAAATTATCATAGTCTCTTGTTGAAACCTGATTCGTTTACTGGAATTAATTGAGAGAAACGTTTGAGAGATACAATTTCAAAAGAAGAATCCAATAACACTGAACGAGACAAAGCAAATCTACAAACGAAAATAAATAATTAAATATAGGAATAAACGAACGAGCAAGCAAGCAAGCAAGTAGGAAATGCTAAGTCGTTTTAACCTACAATAGAAAGAAAGTTCACCAATAAGTAGCGAGTAAGTGATGATAAATGTAAAACTAACGTACCTAATGTAAATATCTCATACAAAACAACTCCATAAGACCATCTGTTGGTGCAATTAGATAGAGCAGATCGTCAGTCATAAGGAAAAACAACAATAACAAGAGAACGAAGGCAACGGTTTTCTGCTAATGGCTTTTGTTGAACAACGATCATGTCAATTACAGGCCAAAAACGGTTGCGCAAATAACCACTTTAAGAAACAATCTGAACTCAAAATGATAGCCCGCTACTGAGGAATCAGGAGGGGGCTGGGAGGGGTTGTGGGGGTAGGGAAGAGAATACATGTCTCGTTGATCCCTGGATATTGGGCATTTTCTCCCTTGTTTGTCATAAAAATATTCATTTTTCCCTAAAATAATTCGCAAAAATTCCTGTTAATAGTAGAGACATCCCTTGTTCCCTTGAATTGATACAAAAGATATCTCTTGTTCCCGTAAAATATACGATCCTGTTCTTTTGTTCCCTGAAACCCCTGGAAGGCCCTCTAAAACGAGGACGGGAAAATTAACCTAAGCCAGGAAACGCGATTGATTTTGTCGTTGCTCCCGATAGGTTGAAAAAGGTATTTGTTTCCTTTTTTCCTGGTTAGGTATACCACGTTTCGTGATCTTATTTAATCTGAGTGGTAGATAGCAAGGGAAATATCATCGAAAATGCAAGTTTATGAAAAGAATTATCCGAGTAGCAAACTTTTCCCGTTGCTTCCATTTTACAAGATAAAGAAGTTCATGTCACTTACAGCGTAAAAAGCAAACGTTTATAGCACATCTGCATTGTATGTAGATATCGACAGCTTTGGGTTTGTAATCCGCGCAGGTTGAAGGTCTGGTATTCATGGCTTGAATTTGAATAGCTAAATGATTCCGAGATCTCTTTTGTCCTAGACCACGCAAGTGGTCAGATTTATGACCCTTGAGCACGATAAAATGAATCTCTTGCCCTCGGGATATTTTACCATGTTGGACAGTTTGTTTCATACACGCGACAAACGATTTGTTTTTATATCTTAAGCAGGTCAGGCATATCATTTTTGTGGCCTGATGATGTTAAATAATGTCCGGGTCAAACACCGTACTTCACATGAGCCGAACCCAATTCAACCAATTAGGCTCATGTGAA